GAAAATCCCACTTTAACAGATAAATGACGATACATCTGGTTGATAAAGGAACTTTCAACGCAAAATTTGGTGTCCGTCACCAATTCACACTTGTTGAGCAATTTGGTGACCGGGAATAGATCGCCCAGGTGGTCGAGGTCAAGGACAGAGTGGCCAATTGGTTTAGATCAATGTCTTCCTTGGGTCAATTAAATTATTCAAATCCGCCAACACCCTCCTATTAATTAAGTGTGCCTAGTAGTCATCTAATGGATTCTAGATTGATTGCTTAGGGAATCCTGCTTAGGCGGTCAGCTTACTGTATCCGGATTGGTGGATTCCATACAAGTTGCAGTAGGCTGGGTGGATAAATCGACCCCAGTGTGATTAAATTCATGGCTACCGTGGGGTCTCGATAGCTCAGTTGGCCTTCTGCCTGCATGCGTGGGTTCAAATCCCACCGAGGCCGACACATTTTTCATGATTGGTTCATTTCAAATCTATCAAACCCCTCTTAATGATATATCATCTGCTAATTAGGCTAAATCACAAAAGCAGGACTCGTCAGCTTCCTGAAGTTCTTTTAACAAACCACGATGGATTGTGCTCTCGTTTGAACAGTCTTCTAACCAAACTGAACATATAAAGTGTTCTGATTTGAGGATGTTCTCGCTTAATACAGAACTTTTCTCCCCTAGGATTTTTGGAATTAATCAACAACATCCTAACAACTGGAGCTTTGGTAGCTCTGTTCTCCGAGGAGGACAAGGACGGTATAATAAATAATGTTTGGCCGACTGCGGAAGCGGCTATCAAGGCGATTGGCGGAGCGACTGCCTCTGTAACCAAGGAGACAGTATGGAAGTGGTTCCACAAGAATTGTACTGCTCGGCTCCACCTGGCCCTCTGTATGAGTCCAGTTGGTGACAACCTACGAAACCGATGCCGAAACTTCCCGGGCCTTGTCAATTGCACTACCATCGACTGGTTCTTCCCGTGGCCAGAACAGGCCTTGTTCGCCGTTGCCTGCAGTCTGATTGATCCAAAGGTACCGTTAATCTTTATCGTCTGAATAGTAAATCTTCTCAGTGTATCACTGTTCTGAATAGTGTCCAGTTTAGGCTACTTATTATGAATCACACTGATGCAGACATTTTGCTATTAGTTTTATTGATAAGTTGATATCGAAAGGTTTTCCCCTCAGGAGCTTGTAGCGCCGTCCACAACCGGCGCCACGCCTGAAAGCGGTCACATGATTGGGACAGCCAATCACAGGTGCCATCGACTGCTATTGGCCAATCATCTGATCAAGTGGCCAATGGCTCACTCTTGCGTGACGTTTGCGCATTCACGCTCACACCCCGCTAGCAGACAGACGTCGGGATATCTTCTTCTTAAAGAAGAATACTGAAGCACCAGTAGCGACCAACAGTAACGGTGAAATGGCATCATCTTAGGAAAGGAGGCTGGTTGAGCACTGAAACAGTTTGTTTGTTATTTTGAGTTTTAGAACTCGTAGGAGTCCATCGTAAATGATATCAGCAGTCATAGAAAAAGGCTATACGAATTGGTGGGAGGGCACAAGCCAATAAATGATAAATGACGGAGACTGGAGATAATTGCACCGACAACTGCCTGCACCAGATCGATTCATCGATTGATTGGCTTCCCACTTGAAGCTCAAACTTCACTTAATTCTCGGCTGTCTTGCTTCCTGAGTATTTAGATATGTAGAATAAATGTACAGTGTTACTTATAAGGAATACCTACCCAAATGAATATTGGCTATTTTCTACCACGTCCCATTAGCGTACTGTGTTTTCGGTACTCGACAATACTTGGCAATTACACGGCTCCTTGGTATACCCAGACAATAATCGATCACAAGAAGGGGTCGGTTAATGTTGGGACGCCGCACGTCCCATGATGAGTCAACGCACTCAACGGCTTCGCG